TAATGGCTTCTGTGATTGTTAATAAACAGCATTTTTAATGTTTCATGCTTGACTGCAGCCTTACCTGATCTCAATTATTTCTTAGTATATGTGGGTGGTGGGGCTTTGTCATCCTACCAGCACCTCCACCTTCATCCCTACGGGTTGTCTCATTATCTTGTTACACAACCTGCAGGGTTGATATTGTTGATATGATGCTAACCACAGAATCATTGAGAGATGGAGCAATGGCATTGCTGGAGATCTCAACAAAACTGCACACAAGGTATTTATCAGACCAAGTTCTGTTGTACTTTTTAAAAGACTTAACCAGAATATACTGCTCAGATGGTTGTAGTCTCTTTGCAGGTCTCCGCTGAGGATTTTTAGCATGTCGTTCTAGATTTTTTTTACAACAAAATGTGTAATTTTCCAGGCTTTTGTACAGACTGAGGCTGATATTTAAATTTTTGTTCTCACTTGTTCATTCAGCTGTATTTTGCTTGGTAGTCCTGGGAACAGGCTGTCACCCTGACAAGGATGAACCACATCCGTTGGCCACACTGTTGTTTCTCTGGGCACTCCTCCAGCTTTGCATGGAAAGCAGCCTGTCCTTAATACCATCTCATGAGGAAGCAGTCCATCCTTTTGGGGACACAATGATTTGTTTTCCTTTGGGTTCAAGATCTTTCATTTCATTTTGCCTGTTGGCGGATATTAAATAAGGTAATTTTGTTGCTTCAGGCAAGATGTCAGCCTGATAACCTCATCTACTGGCTGTATTTCTAGGTATTATCCTACCTAAGGAAGAGGCAGGCACTCCACAAATTTCTGCAGATCAAAACTCTTGGAAAAGTGCTTTCCACTCATGTTTGCATTCATGAATTGTTTAATTTTTTCTCATTTCAAAACACAAGCTGCAGAAGATAACCCTCTTCATTCTTTTTGTTGTTCCACATTTTGTTGCCAGTTAATCTCCTGTTAGCTTCCTGAATCATCTGGCCTTTAAATACTTCTTACATTTCCAAGAATTTTTGACAATCACCACTTAAAACTTCAATGCTTACTGGATATTCCAGTGCATTCTCAAACTGAGCTACTGTGATTTGGAAAAGACGTTTACATATGTATAGTACTAGCAGAGAGGACTGTGTGGCAGAAACGAAACTACATACTTGGGGTGAAAAGCATTTCAACAGGTTTTAAGAAAAGCTTTGTTACTAGGTAAAGGCTTAGCATGAAGCCAGGATGATCTTGTGACTAATAATATATTAAACTCAGAAAAAATTGTTTAGAAGCAGAACTT